GGGGTTGAAAGTATTCTTGGAGAGATTGGTTGCTGAATGCAATGTTGGCAATTCTCAGTGCTGGGACATCAACATGCATAAGAATCGCGTCAGGTGCAAAGATACCACTATTCGGGCTCCAACGTACCTAAAATTGCCTACTCACTAATTGAAGGCGGATCTGTTAGCGAAGACTCTTATGAAATATGAATATGGTGCTTGAGCAATCTCTGAATTTACATGCTAGGGTGGTAGATTCTGTCAGACACCATGGTTCTCAAATGGAAGCGGCAATTTTTGACGAAAATACTAAACCTATAAGTAAATGTTTTCGGGTTTATTTCCTTTTCTTCCTGCATGATATTATACAAATTCAAAATGAAAAAAAAAAAAAAAAACCCAAAAAACACAAAAAACACAAAAAACCAGGACACTTCTGTTTTAATAGAAATTGGCTTTTTATTTTCTGATTTCCTCAATCAGCTTAAAAGTCAAAGCGTAATACTAATCTAGAATTCACACATAGCATATTTAGACGTTAGGAGACAGTAAAAGCTATTGTTAATCTTATTATTTTTTTTTCACTGCGAGAGAAGAAGTTCACAGTTTATTTTAGTTTGCACGAATGAAATATATTTTCATATGCCTTTTCTTGAATCCCGACAATGGTGGGAACTTTTATTTTCTGTCATTCAACATTTTCTTTTAAGCTGAAACTTTCATCGTACCTTCACTTGAATACCGAGCTACAAGTTGAGTGAATCCACTGACAGGTTTACTAAACAATGGTTACTTTGTCAAACGGAAGTCTCAAACAGCCTATTGTTGCTAAACACATAACAAGGATTGAGTGGAGGAATCTCAAAAATAGAAGTTTACAACCGGCATTGAGAGGGTTTTCGGGTATTACTTTGCAGAGTTATAGGAGAGCGTGATATGAACATTCGAAGGTTGCCAAATTCCTGCCGATGAAATATTTAATTTAATTTAAAAACAATTAGTGTTTTCCTTGCAATTTTCAGATACGCTGCATGCATCGGAAACCGAGTTAAACGTTAAAACATTCCAAGACAAATATGTGCAATTGTTTTAGAGAATTCCTATTTAGTGAAACATTTGGCAACGTTCTGCAGTTCATATGACATTTTTCGTCAGCATGGTGGTATTTGAAAAATAGGAATTCAAAACCGGGTAAACGTAATCAGGTGTTGCTAAAATTTTGCAACTGTTTCTTTCATTTGACGAAGACATATGGACTACATTTTGCAATGAGGGACTAGAATTTCTGGCTCTGTTTAAAAACAATTTATTTATCTTAAGCATCCTTATAGACATGTGTGTTTTTACGGATGAGCCGGAAATTTTAGTTCCTAATTGCAAAATGCAGTCCATATTACCCTGAGAAGAGCATTCCTTAGGGTAAGAATAAGATTCAAATTTCTGGAAAATTCCCTATAAAAATTTTCATGAAGCGAGGGCATCTCGTTGATTTACAGTGAAAAATACCATGCACAATTTTGGAAACTCCTGATGGCGCTTACTAGATTTCGAATTGTTATTGTGTCCGTTTTGTCGTTTCTCAAGTGAGGAAACGTGATTCCGATTAAAAATTGCAAAATCGATAACAATATTTAAAGTTTTACAGGAACATTACAGCGGAATTCTTGTCGAAATGCTAGTTTAAGCCTGTCCCCAGAAGAAAACTCAGAACAATTTTCAGTCAGAATCGCCCGATTTTCTCTAACTCATTCAGTAAGTGCATTTATTTTTCAGTAATGAAATGGACCGCGTTCAGCAGGAAGGAACCAAGCCACATCAGCTATTGCCAAATTTAACTGCGTAATTTAATTTTTTGCATAAAAACTGTCGTGCGGATTTCCGTGCAAATTTTAGTGACTTTCTTACATAACGCGCAGCAAAATTCTTAAAATTTTCAAAGGAATCCAAGTAACAATCTCTTGTAAAAAATTAAATTTACCGATTAAATTAGGCAATAGCTGATGTGGCTTGGCTCCTTTCTGCTCAACGCAGTCCAAATCTGCCGTGCCAAGAAAAATGCCTTTCTTTTGATAAAACACAAATTTCCTTGAAAACTTCTGAACATTTTTCTTCCAATTGTTTAGATAATTTTGTTTGCTATGTCAGCTAAAGCTTTTAAAACTTTCGAAGCAAAATTTGCATTATTTTCCGACAAAATAAACATTTCATCGAAGGAAATTTGGCAATTCTCAAATGCTCATACGGCGTTCTTCCTTAGTACGGCAGAAATGAACTTGCGTTCTTTCGTCTGGGAAACGACGATTTGTCACAAGTTCTAATTTCGTTCCGAAAATGTCGAGTATACAGACGTTGACATGGCAAGGACGAGGGGCTTAGTTAGGTATACCGGGTATACCGTGTTTGTAAAGAAGAGGATCACAAAACGAGACAGCTTAATTTTTACATGCACCGGAGGCGGTGTCCGTGGCGGTGCGAGTGTGGGATCCGTGTAAAGGTTTCTTCGTGTGGGTGTTCAGGGCTGGTGTGTGTGTGAGCCTGTATGTGCTTGATTAAGTGCGGAGAGGCAGTGGCCGAATAATTTTTCCGCATCTTAAGCCGAGGATTATGAAGGCAGCGCGCAAGAACGGAGCCCCGCCGTTTTTGCATAAAACATTGTCTCTCGACGTAGATTTTAAGCACGTGGCGCGCATTTGCATAAATCGCCATCGTTTAAGCAATGATGAGTCGCGGTTTTTCATACCGCGGCCACTTCCAGCCAGACCTGTCCATAGCTCGGGAATTCAGAGGGTGGCTCTTTTTATTTTTGATTCTTTATTATCTGGAGGCCTACCACCTTTGCGCTCAATCGCTCATACGTGGCTCCAACGGGGCTAATGCATGAAAGAAAGTTCAGTCAACCGAATACACTCTCTATGGGTGAATAGAGAATTTACAGATGTCTAAAATTTGATGAATTTCGTGTTTAAGTGGAAGCTACTGAGTGAACTGAACACGAGGATACCCCTGGTCCATGAATTGAGCAATTATTAGAGAAGATATGACAAAATTATGTAATCTACTAAAATCAACGAAGTCTAAAATCCACTCCTTAGTAAGCAATCTGCGTAAGTTGTAACACGCTTCTTCAAAACCGCGTATGCGGGCAGTTCTTATTGGTGGCCGGCATACGGCAGTCAGGTTTGGCCGAAGAGAGACCGAACCGAAATAATCGAACAATCTCGCGAACTGTTATGAACTGTTCTTGCGTAAGATTTCAATTGATTTAAAGCTTTTGTTTTTGCAAAATAAAGAAAGAGAAAGGAAACAAACGCTCCAAAACGACTGAAATCGTGAAAACATTGTAAAAAGTTAGTGAAATCATTTGTTCACTCAGATTGGTTTTTCTGACTCCTGCTCGTGCAAACCTGGCCTGGCTGAGAAAAACTACCCGCAGACGCGGAAACTTGAAAGAGTGTGTCACAAAATACGCAAATTGCGCGCTAAGGAATGGATTTCAGACTTTTTTGACGTGCCAAACGTCATTTCCGTGCAATTTTATCTACAAAGCGTGCATTTATTTGGCTGTATCTCTTGCGACAGACCAATTCAAGATCCGCCTTTATTCAAAGAATAGGCGATGTCGGGTATGCACGCACGCTAGCCCAAATAGTGGTATCCGTAGACCTGACGTGGTTATAACGCATGTCGTTGCACAAGCATATTAAGATTTGCCAAAGTTGCTTGCGTATTAATTGGTGTATATTTGAAATATAAATCAAAAAGCGTTCTAAGCTCTGAAAATATGGCGTCTATTAAAAAAGACACAAAAACTCGTGCTTGGTGAAAATACTTGAATTAGGTTTGATTATGCTGAAGTGCTTACGACCATGGCTTGCGCCGTTTCTTCATAGGGCGCAAGATACATACCCCCTCATTAATATCCTCAGAGAACATGATTGACAACCTGAAAATTTCTTAAATTAATTCACTAGCCGAAAATAAGAGATTTTGTTAGAAGTTAAAATTATAGTTGATTAAAAGTCTCTCATCCTCAAAGGACGACGATACTTTAAAGAGTGGAAATCTCTTTCCGATCAACACGTACCTTCCACGCCGGCTGTTAGGGGGATCGGGGCGCCGCCCTCTCGTTTCCACGTGATGTTGGGCATGGGTATGCCCGATGCGGCACATCGAAGCGACACATTTCCACCCTCCCGAACAACCGTGTCGGCACTGGTCGGAGAGTCCAAAATATCTGGTGGAACTGTAACACACACACACACACACACAAAATCAGTAAATGTAGAGAAATGTAGAGAAAATGATTCTTTGAAACGGAGGCCGAATTTTGTCGGTCTTTCCACCGTGCTTCAATATACACCGAAAAAAGTAATATGCTTTTTTAGCACCTAGAATGTCGAAAATGTATCTGGTGATCTCAATATGCTGCCTTTACCGCCCTCGCAGTTAACTTTACATCCTAAGAATGCTAATTTAACTGCGTGGGCAATCAGGGCAGCATCATAGGATCACCAGACACATTTTTGACATCCTAGGTGCTAAAACAGCATACCATTTTTTTCAGTGTACTTCGGACGAATCTCGATTGCACTTAAGCCCGGGTTAGCCGGTTAGCGCCTCTGATTGGCCGGTGGTGCGGTTTGGAATCATCGATGAATGTTGCACCGCTACGTGAAAGAACCGAAAAAATTCGGCCCCAGCAGCGGCGTGGCGTGCTTTGCGATATATCGATTGTTATGCCATTTAAACCTGTCAAATAGGATCGATTATCAGGGTGTTCGCAACGAACACGCATTAATAATCGATTCTTTACCATAGCTTCCAATGGGGAGATATCGATATATATCGAAGCACGCCGCCACTGGGCCCTAGGTGTAACTACACAAAATGGACCGCATTTAGCAAAAAGGAACCAGCGCGATCAGTGTTTTGAAAACCGTATATATTGAGAGATTAATATATTGACAAATGTTTGCAAATCAGCAAGAGGTCCTTTTGAAGCCCTTTAGAGAAACCATGTCATGTATTTTTATAAAAATACATCGATGACAAATTTACGAAAGCATTAAGGCGAAAAAAAATTCACTAAAAAATGTACAGAACTTTCAGTAAACGCCAGCGCTGATATATTTTGTTATGATTACAGAGCTGAAAGCTGTGTGCCTTAATTACAGAGAATGAGAGATAAAGTGTTTTTAATTTCGACCAACACAAACACAAAAAGAAGTTTTACACGACAGTCATTTTCACACCAGATGATCCTTCCGAAGAACTAGATTTGCGAGGAAATATTTGTCCTTTTTTTTCGATTTCCATTTTTATACACACAAAAAGATTCCACGTTGTAGCAATAAGAATTGAAAGATTTGGTAAACAAAGCGTCGAAAAATCGAGTTGTCCTCTTGTTAATTTTGAAAGAAAACTTTTTTAATAACGCCTGCATTTTTCTTTGCTCGAGTGCCAGAGTTAAAGATCGACCCTCCATGCCAACAAGTTAACGGTGCGATTTGGAACGCTCTTTTTGAGGACTTTTCCTCCTTTTTAAAATATTCGCTCTCCTCCTTCCAGGGAACAGTGCAATCAATAAGAAAAAGTTTCCCTCACTGACAAGTTTTAATCTTCGTTTCGGGTGTTTCTTGTCGGAAATTACTCCTTCATGTTGTTTAGGGGGAAATTCTTGAGAGACCAGAAACATAAGAACAAAAATAATTAAATAAAAATGTATGTAGGAGTAGTGGTTGCAGAAGTGGTTGTTTCTGTTGTTTTATTCGAGCAACAGACGTCGTTTCGTTGTTGTTGTATTACTTTGGGTCTCAAGAACCTTAACCCATAACCCCCCAGATTCTAGTCGAATGGATAAAGTATAAAAATAAATACAATATACGGAAAATAAAAATGAACGAAGGTCAAAAACTAACGAGAAGGTCTTGTGTCTTCTCTCTGTCACGATTTCTGTTCAAAAATGACAAGTCAACGTTGAAGAACTCCATTTAGAGTGAATTTTTGTCATCATATGGAATGAATTCTATATGGCTGAATTTTATTTTAGATAGAACATTCTGTTATAAATTCCTCGAGCTTAAAGAAAGGCCAAATAAGGACGCATTTGTCGATGGCAAAGAGTGCAAGACCACGTATTTCCATTGCAATGTGTCGAAATTTCCGCTCCAATTTTATTGTTTTAAAGAGGAACAAGTCAACTTTGTGGCTTGAAATTTAAACAGAATATTTTGCTTATGTGGAGGAAAATCAGGGAAGTTTTCAAGAACTTACATCCGCTAGTTTTTCAAAGAAAAAATGAAGTATGATAGGAAGTCTGCAACGTTGCACACGGAGAAACGTGGTTTCGCTCTTCAGCTATCGATACGTAAATATCATCAAGTCCTCCTCCTGCTAATCTCTCTTCTGAGGTGATCCCTCCAGATGGGCTAGTTTCCAATAGTTATGTTACTAAATTGCACAATCCTTGAGCTCCCTCTTCAATCCTGATCAGTGGCGTGGCGTAAATTGCGATTTATCGATTGTTATGCCATTTAGACCTATGGAAAAGGTTCGATTAACAGGGTGTTTGCAGCGAACACCTTATAATCGATTCTTCACCATAGGTTTAAGTAGCATAACAATCGATATATCGCAATTCACGCCACGGCACTGGCCTGATCTTGACGATAATCAAGAATATTCAAAGCTTTTAAGGTTGCATCCACGAGGAGGAACAGCAGAGATAAGGAGTGATTTGGATTTGGCCTCCTTTCACCTCTCTATTATTTTGGAGGTAGTTATGGATATCCTAACTGTGGGGTTTAATCCTTGCGAGGCCGGAAAACTTAATTTTGATCTGCACCTTATATCAAAGCGCCTAGAGCATGAAATGTGTCAGTTATTGCTTTACCCTCAAAATGGCAACGGTTTAAATAAATCTGAAAGGTAGGCAAACAAGAAGGTGTTATTGGGAGGATGGAACAGCCGTGATAAGAGAAAACGTCGTATGAACACTCGAGTGTTGCCACATTTTCTTCGATAAAATAGTTATTTCTTAAGAAACTCTGAAGTGTTTTTCTGGAAATTTTCAGAGAGTTTAGATTGAAGAGAAATTAAACGCTTTGAGGAAAGACATGCATGAGAGCCGATGCCACAGTGATCTTTGGCTTTCTGTATGACGCCTAACCATCAGAGTCCCCTGTCCTCTCGAACCTTTCAGGGAATTGGCTCTCCTTAATTTCTTGTGATATCCTGTAGGCATTCTTTTATTGGGCATCCCTTTGTTTCCTCTCAGGAGGAATCAAATCAAGAATCTTTTCTGATAGTCTTCACTCCGTCATCCTTTTTACGAGACTCTGCCAGAGTAGCTCTTTGGGCATGCCGTCAAACACGACGTCATGTTCGACTTTCATGATCTGATGCACTATTTTAAAATTGAAATTTTTGATTGCATAGAAATTGAAAGAAAAATATCTAAAAAATTGAAAAATTCGAACTTTCTTTGAGAAATTGAAAGAAAAATTCGAAAGTTTCCCGGAAAATTTAAGTGCATTCGTTGGCGGATCCAGGAAAGGAGCGTGTGCCCCTCCCCCGGTTTGTCTCAAAAAAGGAGTGAGAAGATGGAAAGGAAGAATAAAAGAAGGAAACGCAGGTGAGAAGGAGGAAGGACGCTCATATTTGGTACTTATTCATGAAAAAATTGACTCAAACTGCATGTAAGACGATTTAAATTATCGACAATTTTCTGGAGAAGCCCCCCGAAGCCCCCTCACGCCCCCTCCCCTCCCCGTTCAAAGTGGCTGGCTCCTCCTATGAATTCATCGAAGGAAATTTGGCAAGGAGTAAAATCTCATACGACGTTCTCGCTTAGCGCGGTGGAGGAGAGACGCAGGAGCGCCGGGACCGGTAGGCAATAACATGCAAATGGGGTGTTAGGGCCCGAAACATGTTTTGATGCCGATTGACTCGTTACGGTAAACAGACGAGCGTGGATTCAATTTAAGTAGCTCCGGATTACTCAGGAACTTGGAGCACACGCAACGCCATTCCTCGGAATCCTATTTCCCTCTTAATTAGTCGCAGCTCTTTCGGCTCGCGACTTTGATTAGACAATTTTCGCCAATGAGCTTCCTCCGTGTTTTAATTACGACCATTGTAACTACCATTTCATTAATTCACCCGCTATCCACTTCATCAAGGGGTTAAACCTCAAATTCACAATCAAAGGCTCCAGACATGTATTCCTATCGCTGCACGTTTCGTTCACGTATTGATGACTGAAGTTAAAAATGTTTAAATCCAATTGCAATGTTGTAAATCTCCGCTTTCCTGTTAAGAGTAATATAATTCTGTTCCCATGTCAAAAATGATATTGAGTTAACTCCGCCTCGACTTTCGGCTCGAATTTGACTAAATTTCAATTTTGTTGACTCTAATACCAATTTACTTCAATTGACTCCACGATAACTTTAATTGGTTCTAAATTAACGCAACTGACTCTTAGATCAAAGTCTCATTGACTCAATCTACGAGTTTTATTGACTTAACATAGCTTCAACAGAGGAACAGGATTTCATTATCACACGATATTCTATATTCGTATGGACACAAGGCCCGCGGGTTGTATGGGGCCAGTACTTACAAGGTCCATACAAATTCATCGTAAAAAGGAATCAAACATCGAATTGAAAAAAAAAATGAGGAAAATCTAGTGTCAACACAGCCGAACATAGGAGAGACGTAATTGGGCATCGTTATTTAACTTTTTCCCGAGTCTGTGCGGCACACTGAAAAAAAAATTGCTAAAATACGGTGACAAATCACCAAATTAGTTAAATCAACCCGGTGTTCTTAATCTATTTTGATGAGTTGTCACCTTTTTTCACTATTTCATGTGTTGATTTTAGCAGTTTTTTTTTCAGTGCACTTAGTTGGTAGCAAAGAGCGGAGCATTAAGCGTTCTCGCCTCGCGCCACCGCGCCTTCAATTTTGCGAACGCAACACGGACATCCATCGAGTACGAATAGTTGTATCTCTGCGCCGTTATCAACGCGAATCCTATCTCATGCTCTATAACCACGTTGTGTTGGCTCAGTTTTGCTGTCATAATTCAGTTGTACTTAATTTCTTTCCTCTTTTCCTTCCTAATGCTGCATCATATTACAACTGAGGTGTTTTTGCAAATGGCGCAGACAGTTTGAACTATTTAAAGTATGTTTCGCGTGTTTTTTTTACCTGCTCAATCTTTAATGTTTTAATTTC